TCGCGGGAGGGACTTGGGTGGGTCGCGGGCGGGTCGCCGGCGAGGACGACAAAAACATAACAACTACTCCGACGGTAGGATCCCGCATGAGAATCTGTTTATTGAATCGCTTCGCTCATTCCGCCGGCCCGTGATATGGCATCGCTGGTTTTTGTCTGTGTGTTCGTTGCCCATGTTGCGCTCTTGGGGGCGGGTGTCGTTCGGACGCGTTGCGTGGGGAGTTTTGATGGTGAAGCAGTTCCCTGGGGGTCGTCTCTCGATGGGGCGAAATAGAGTCGTCGTCAAGATGCTTCTTTGGGGGGCCTCTTGGGGTCTGTTGAGAGGCCGTTCGGGGGCGCCTGGGAGACATGTTTGAAGCCTTCTGGGGCTTCTTTTGGGCCTCCTGGGAGTCTCCTGGGGCCTCTTGGCGACATCTTGGGGCCTCTTGGAGGCCTCTTGGGGCCTCTTTGGGACCTCCTGGGCGCCTTCTGGGACGGAGGGCTCCATTTTTGAGTTCTCGGTATCCCTCCTGAGTCCCTCTTGGGCCCGTCTTGGGGCCTCTTGGTCCGTCTTGGGCGGCACTTGGGCCGTCTTGAGGGCTCTCTTGGGTCGTTTCGGCGCCGTCTTGGGAGCTTCGTGGGCCGTCTTGGAGCGGTCTTGGGGGCCTCTTGGGCCGTCTTGGAGCGTCCGGAAGCCGAAAAAGCCAGAACACAAAAAACATAGAAAAAACCAATGAAAATCAACGATTTTGGCCTCTTGGGGCTCTCTTCGGAGGCCTCTTGGAAGGCTCTTGGGGCGTCTTGGAGGCCTCTTGGGCTGTCTTGGGGGCCTTTTGGGCCGTCTTGGGGTCATCTTCGGCGTCTTCGAGCGCTCTTTGGGCGTCTCGGGGGCCTCTTGGGCAGTCTTGGGGGCCTCTTGGGGCACTCTGAGCGCGCTCTGGGGAGCCTGAGAGGCCGCACCCAGAAGGAAAACCATCTCTGAGTAGACTTGGTCGGGCGGCGACCGGGCGTTGGTCGGGGTACTTTTCGCCGGGGGACCCCCAGGGGCCGCCCCGCGCGCGCGAACTAGAAATACTGTTAATACTGTTAACCAGTTACCGGAGATCTTAGCACGCCCTGGCCCGTTGGGCCGGCGAATTTAATCGCTTCGCTCATTCCGCCGGCCCATATTGTCGCACCGTTGTGGGCTAGCCGAGTTTTGGGGCCTCTTGGGGGCCGTTTTGGGGCCTCTTGGGGCCTCTTTTGGGCCTCTTGGGCGCCTCTTGGGGCGTCTTGGGGGCCTCTTGGGGGCCTCTTGGGGCCTTTTTGGGGCCTCCTGGGCGCCTTCTGGGGCGGAGGGCTCGATTTTTCAGTTCTCGGTTCCCCTCTTGAGCCCCTCTTGGGCCCGTCTTGGGGCCTCTTGGTCCGTCTTGGGCGGCACTTGGGCCGTCTTGGGGGCCCTCCTGGGCCGTTCCGGGGCCGTCTTGGGAGCCTCGTGGGCCGTCTTGGAGCGGTCTTGGGGGCCTCTTGGGCCGTCTTGGAGCGTCCGGAAGCCGAAAAAGCCAGAACGCAAAAAACATCGAAAAAAACAATGAAAATCAACGATTTTGGCCTCTTGGGGCCCTCTTCGGAGGCCTCTTGGAAGGCCCTTGGGGCGTCTTGGAGGCCTCTTGGGCTGTCTTGGGGCCCTGTTGGGCGTCTTCGGGCGATCTTTGGCCGTCTCGGGGCCCTCTTGGACCGTCTTGGAGGCTTCTTGGGGACCTCTTGGCCCGTCCTGGGGCCCTGTAACAGGGCTCCGGCATCTCTGCCCGACCTTGCCGGGACCTTGCCGGGACCTTGCCGGGACCTTGCCGGGACCTTGCCGGGGTACTTTTCGTCCGGGGACCCCCAGGGGCCGCCCCGCGCGCGCGAACTAGAAATACTGTTAACCAGGTACCGGAGATCTTAGCACGCCCTGGCCCGTTGGGCCGGCGAATTTTGCCTGGGGATCTTCTCCTGCCCCCTCGCTTCTCCCACCTGCTCTTGCCTCCTCCTTTTCCTCCTGCCTCCTCCTCGTCCTGCCTCAACCCCTGCCTCCTCCTCTTCCACCACCACCACCTCCTCCCCCTCCTTTTCCTCCTCGTTATGCCTCCTCCCACCATTCCCCATGCTCCTCCTTCCTCCTACGTCCTCCTCCTCCTGCTGCATTCCATCTCCCTCCTCCTCCTCCTCTTCCTCCTCCTCCTCCTCCTCCTCCTCTTCCTCCTCCTCCACCTCCCCTCTCCATCTTCCTCTTCTCCCTCTCCCTCCTCCGCCTCCTCCTCTTCCTCGTCTCCATCTTCCCCCCCCCCTCCTCCTCCGCCTCCCCCTCCTCCTGTCCTGCCTCCTCGTTAGGTTTCCTGCCTCCTCCTGGGGACTCTTGGGGCCTCCTGGAGCCTTCTGGGCCTCCCGGGATTTCCTGGGGCCTCTTAGGGCACTCCTTTTCCTCCGTGTCCTCCTCGTCCTTCTCGCCCTCTGCTTCGTCGTTGTCCTCCTCCTCCTCCTCCTGCTCCTCCTCCTCCTCCTGCTTCTGTTTCACGTCCTGCATCCTCCTTCTTCCTCCTTCTTCCTCCTCGTGCGGAACAGGACCCAGAGGAAGCGCACAAGCGCACGACGTGCGTCACGGCGGATGCGCGCCGGAGGGCGACCCAAATGAAGCGCGCGCCGGAGGACGACCCGGAGGAAGCAAGAGATCTGCGGTCCCACAGGGAGGGGGCTCCCGCCTGAGCCTTCCTCACTTTTCACTCACAGACGCGGTTCCCGCCTGATACTTCCACCATAGTCAGGCCTCAGGAGCGCAGAAGTGACGACAATTACAGGTCCGAGGATGACCCGCTCGGATGAAAACATGAAGTGCGGGCCCCATAGGGAGGGGGCTCCCGCCTGAGCTTTCCTAGCAATTCACTGACAGACGAGAGTCCCGTCTGATACTCCCCCTAGGAGCCCAAAAGTGACGACAGTTACAGGTTCGAGGATGACCCGCTCGGATTGAAACATGAATTGCGGGCCCCATAGGGAGGGGGCTCCCGCCTGAGCCTTCCTCGCATTTCACTCACAGACGAGGGTCCCGTCTGATACTTCTCTAATGTTCAGGCCTGAGGAGCCCAAAAGTGACGACAGTTACAGGTTCGACGATGACCCGCTCGGATTAATAACATGAGGTGCGGGCCCCGTAAGGAGAGGGCTCCCTCTTGAAACTTCTTTGCAATTCACTCACAGACGAGGCTCCCGCCTGATACTTTCCCCATGTTCAGGCCTCAGGAGCCCAACACTGACGACAATTACAAGTTCGAAGATGCCCCGCTCGGACTAAAAACGCTATCCCGGCGAAGGACCCGCCCATATGCAATTGTGGGTACCGCAGTTGTGAGCCCCGCCTTCGGTGGAGCTCCCTGCGGAGCCACGAAAAGCGTGAAGAGTGTGCCGATATTTCGGAAAAGTCGCCGCGCGAAACCTGCCAGTGGGGCCTTCGATGGAGCTCATTGTGGGGCCACGACACGTGTGATGGGTGTGCCGAAAAGGGGGCGGGGCCGCCATGCAAACTTTGCCATTCGGGCCCTCGGTGGGGCTCCCCGTGGGACCACGAAGCGTGTGAGGGGTGTGCCGAAATGGGCGCGGTGCCGCCATACGAATTTCTTCACTGGGACCTACGGTGGAGCTCCCTATGGGGCCACGAAGCGTGTGAGGAGTGCGACGACATGGTGCGGGGCCGCCATGCGAACTTTGATTCTGGCGCTTTCGGTGGGGCTCCCCATTGGACCACGAAGCGTGTGAGGGGTGAGCCGAAGTGGGGCGGGGCCGCCATACGAATTTTGCCACCGCTTCCTTCGGTGGGGCTCCCTGTGGTGCCACGAAGCGTGTGAGGGTGCGCCGAAATGGGGCGGGGCCGCCACGCGAACTTTGCCACTGGGGCCTTCGGTGGGGCTTTCTATGGGGCCACGATCCGTGCGAAGGGTGCGCCGACATTGGGCGGGGCCGCCACGCGAACTTTGCCACTGGGGCCTTCGGTGGATCTTCTTGTGGGACAGCGAAACGTTTGAGGGGTGCGCCGACATGGGGCGGGGCCGCCATGCGGACCCTGCCAGTGGGCCATTCGGTGGAGCTCACTATGGGGCCACGAAACGTATGAGGGGTGTCGACATGGGCTCGGTGCCCGCATGCGAACGCAGCTGTGCTGGGTGGGTGGAACGCAGGCAGGAATGGGGGGGAGGGGAGGAGGAGGAAGAGAGGTGGGATGCGGGACGCTGTCTCTTCAAAACGAGGACCCAACACCACAGGATGGTTGGGAATGAAGTGCGGGCCCCATAGGGAGAGGGCTCCCGCCTGAGACTTCCTCGTATTTTACTCGCAGATGAGCCTCCCGCCTGATACTTCCCCCATATTCAAGCTAACGAATGAGTGGGTGAGTGAGTGAATGAATGATCGAACGAGTGATGTTGATGGTCATGATGATGATGCTGCTGCTGATGATGATGATGATGACGATGATGTGTGCGAGTGGGTGTGCGTGTGGGTGAGTGTGTGAGTGATGACGCTGGTGATTGTGATGGTGATGGTGATGGTGATGATGATGATGGTGAGTGAAGGGGTGAGCGGGAGTGAATGAGTGAGTGAGTGAGTGAGTGAGTGAGTCAGTGATGGTGGTGATGCTATTGATGCTGATGATAATGTGGTGGTGCTGCTACTGATGTTGGTGGTGATACGTGTGCGTGTGAGTGATGGCGACGTGATGACTGAGTGAATGACTGATGATGATGAGTGGGTGAATGAGTGAGTGCGTGAGTGAGTGGATGATGATGTAGTGTGTTCCTGTGTGTTCCTGCGCGGGGTGTCCAGAGAAACCACGAACCCCACTTTGGATGTGGGGAACCAGATACCGCGCCGTGGACGTCACCTTCAGCCATGCCCCCAGGGACAGTGTAGAACCGTTCGGCCCCTCATTCTGGCCAAGTATCGTGGGCGACCGCGCGGCAGAGGAGGGAGGAGGGTGTGCACGAGCACGGGGTCACGCGTTCGCCCTCCCAGGTGTGAGTTTGTGCTTCAACGGGACCGCGCAGAACGGTGTCTCGTCGAGGGCCTGCAACTGCTGCGACGGCTGCGGCGCCTGCTGCCCCGCCGCTCCCCTCGCTTCGTCGCTCGGCGGGGCTCGGGGCGAGGGCGGGAGGGAGGAAGAGGAGTCGGATGAGTTCATGAGCAACTCATGGGAGTTCTGCGTGCCCTCGAACCTCCACCCTTCGAGTGTACTAGCATGCGCCAGCGCTGGGGTGCCATCGACGGGAACGCACAAGCACACAGTCACACACAGACACACACACACACACACTCACACTTTCAGCGTCGAGTAGCATGGACCTGGCGTCGACTGGCGTCGATTCGCGCTTGTTCGCAAGTACCAGCTAGATGACCTGGAGAGGCCCGATGAGTTGCCGCAGAAGGCGAGGAGGAGGAGGAAGCGGAGGAGGAGTATCGAGTATCGAGTTGGCCGACTAAAGTCGTTGACGATCAAACTGCGGACCGCGGCTCTGCTGCTCAGCCTTGCTAAGCAGCTCGTGCGCCCCAGGCTCGCGTCCAGCCTGTTGAGACATGCTCGACGGCGCGGCTCCACATCTCCATCGCACAACTGCCCGAGGCCTCGCCATTGCCGATCTCCGAAGCCGCCGCAGTTCACACGAAACCGCAACTCGGTTGCCTCGATACGCGCTTCTTTTGAAGCGCAACACGTCCCGTGTTCAAGACGTCCGTGTCAATACGTTGCGTGCTGGCTCCACGTATTGGACCACGTTTTGGCGCACGCATCGCGTCGGACCTGCGTTCTCAGCCCACGTGTTGAGTTCCGTATCGATGCGGTGCGTGTTGCGTGCTGCGTATCGGGGCAGCTAAGAACCGCAACATCAGGGACCGCTCAAGGCTCACAGTATCCGAGGGCCCTCGCAGGGCTCCGGGGCCGCCGACAAGAACGCCCTCGGGATGGCCGGCCGGCCCTGGGACGGGAGTCGGGATTTCTGGGGGGACCCCGTGCTGAAACAGGTCAAGTCGTCGCACGGTTGGGGGGTGATCAGGAGGGAAAAAAACACACAGACACAATTAATCGTCGATCCCCCAGAAAATATGGGAAACTATGGGAAGTGGTGGGGAAGACAAAAACCCAGGAAATATGGGAAACTATGGGGCATGTTTTTATTTGTGTGTATTTATTTGTGGGTTCGTGGGCCCCTTCAGGTGAGGGGAAGAGAGGAGTGCGGGGGACCGATGGGAGCGGGTGGCGGGGGGGGGCCCTGACCTCTCGGAGTGCTACAAAAGTAGCCCCGAGGGCTCCCAGGCTTGTTTGGCCTCGGCTCGAGCATCTAGGGGCAGCAGTCCCGCAGGCCTCGGAACAAATTAGCGAGCACATGCCACATTCATCCGTCAACGCCTCCCCTTCCCCCCAATGTTCAAAGTTGGCGGTGGGTCTGATGAGTTGCACCTCGACCGCAGTCTCCCCCGCGCGTCGTGCCAACCTTGAGTTTGGGGGGCAGGGGGGGTGTTCACTGATCGTTTCCCTCTACCGTGGTGCTGTTTTGTCAGCCGTCCTGGAAGGCCAGGGGTGAAGATAGCAGGGGGTGGATGCTCCAGGTTGCGTGCGAATCTGGCGGCGTCCAGCCCTGAGTTCCGACGTTGCGAGAAATTGCAGCATCGCGGAAAAACACCACCAGTGCCTTCGACCCAATATTTCTGCTATGGCCGGTTCGATCTGCGATGGCCTCGTTTTATTGAGCAATCAGCGAAGACGCTCAGTTCGAAACATTTGGAGCCTCCAGATCTCATGGGCCAGGCTTTACGTCAGAGTGACCTTTCGCTGAAGTGACCTTTGGTGCGGGCACACCAGGGTCCCCTCATGGCTGAAAGGGCTGCGACTCGCGCGCTCCGATTCGGCCTCCCCGCGGCCCCCGAAAGTCGCGCTCCAGAGGTCCCTCTTGCCTGGGGCCCCTCCTACGTGTAGGCGATGGGCTGCGTGCAGCTCTTGCGGCATCCCGACGCCAGTCGCTGGCGAGGGAGCCACCGCCATCGAGCCTCCACAGGCCCAGACCGTCCGGGCCCGGGCCCTGGTGGGTATGAGCTCGGCTCATCGCCAGGCGGGGAGGCCCTGCCCACCCCGAGACTCGGCTCCGGAGGCGGTGGCGGTGGCGACTGTTCTTCCGGGCCTCCGTCGTCGTGATGTTTCGCAGCGCGCCCCCCCTCTTCCCTGGAGCTTCCGAGACAGGTCGCGTCGTGGAGGAAGGTCACGAGTGGAGGCGGTTTGTCGTTTTCGGCCTCCAGGGGCCCTCGCTGGGCCCTGGGACCGTCAGCAAAATTGCTCGGGAGGAAACAACCGACCCGGTGGAAAGTGTCAGGACCTCTGGGGACCACGCATTGAATCCATCAAGGCGTCGCACGTCCGGGCTTCGACCCCATCCCCAGGGCTGTTTTTTCGCC